GGGGGGGGGGGGGGGGGTAGACGAAGCCCAGGGAGGGAGAGCAGGACCCTGCCTGGGGAGGGGGTGTGAGGAGGAAGGAAGGATGGAGACCCGGAGACGGGCTGGGAGAACACAGGAGGGGAAAGCAGGAGGAAGAAAAGGAGAGACCTAAACGAGAGAGCGCCAAGGATGAAAGGCGGAAGGGAAGGAAGGACAGCCGGGGGCGGGGGCGCGGGCGAAGTGGGCGCGCCGCCGCCGCCGCCGCCGCCGCCTCCCGGCCTCTCTTTTGTCCCTTCCCTCCTCCCTGCGTCACGCTCCCCTGGCCCGGCCTCCCCTCCCGCTCCTTCCTCCGCCCTGCTCCTCCTCCCCGGGGCTGGATGGAATTTTTTCCCCTGGACCGGGGCCAGCTCCCGGGCAAGGGGGGAGCCAGGCCGGACTGGGCTGGGCGGCTGGGAGGGGCCGGGCGGGGCCCCCCCGGGCAGGGGGCCGGTCGCCGGCGGGGTCTGGGGAGGGGAGCCGGGCTACGGAGTCCACGGCGCCGGGGAGGCGCGGGGAGGAGGCCGGCGGGGCGCGGCGCGAGAGGATGGAGAGGACGCGCGGCCCTGCGCCCCGGCGGGCGGTCGGCGAGGAGACCCTGACCACGCGGACCACAGGAGGTGAGTGCGGGCCGAGGGCTGCGGCCAGGCCGGACTCCGGGGTCCCCGAGGGGCGAGGACCTGGGGCGTGGATTTCTGGGATTCTGGAGGATGGTGTGGGGGGGGGGAGTGCCAGGAGCCCGGACTCCCGACTTCGTGAAGGAGGGGGTTGGGGAGCTGGATTCCGGGGTCCCGAGGCTGCACCGGCTGCAACACCTCCTGGACTCCAGAGGGAGGAGAGCGGCAGGGCTGCGGTAGGGAGGGCAGGGTGGGGTGGAGAAGGCTGGGCGCGAGGTGCCCCAGACCTCTGGGGAGGTGGAGGCCAGCGCCCGGCCGCGAGAGGGTTAATGTCTGGCCGCGGGGAGGGGGAGGGGCAGGGATGGGGCTGCGGGGCTCGGAGGGGTCAAGGGTGAGCCGTGCGAGCCGGAGGGGCCCGGGGAGGAGGGGAGGTTGTCTGGGCTGCCAGACAGGCCCGGGTCAGCGCCGGGGGCAGGGGATGTCTGGCGGGGGAGAGGCCCAGCAGCCGGGCTCCCGTGGGGACCTGGGATTCCAGGCCCCAACCCCCTCGTCTCAGACCCCGGAGTCCACCACCCAGCCCCTTCTCGGATCCTAGCATCCGCGGTCTCCCCAGGACCCGGCGTCGGGGCCCCCAGCCTCCTCCTCACATGCACCTGGGGGTCCACACTGCAGCCCCACCCCCTCCGAGTCTCTCGCAGAGGGTGGATCCCAGCGCCCTCTTCCTGGAGCACCCAGGAGCCTGGGGTCCCCTTGCAGCTTTGCATCTCGCCGCCCGGACTGGGGGGGGGGGGCTCCTAACCCGGAACCCCTCCCCTTTCGTCCCAGCTGGAGTGCAGCCCTCCAGGGGTTAAGGGGGCGGGGCCAGCTAGTTGCTATGGTGCCAGACTGTTTGGGTCTGCTCTCTGACCCTTGGGGGCTCTCCAGGGTCCGCCAAGAGCGGGAGGGGGACCCAGATCTGGGGCAAGTCCAGCCCCTACCCCTTCCCCAAAGCGGGCCTGGACCGCGGGTTCCGCCCACGTCTGGTCCAGTGACCTGGAACGAGACCTGACCCGTGTCTCCGGGCCTCAGTTTCCCCCAGGAGAAACTGCCCGGGGTGGAGGCAGTGGGGAACAGGGATGCTCGGTCCGAGAATCTTCAAGATTCTCGCCTCCCGCTCCGCTCCCCCTCCCCCGGCCCCAGGCAGCCCCGGGGCATGCTGGGAACCCGGGCCGGGCTCCGGGCCAGGTTGGGGGGGCTCCTCCCTTCCCCTTCCTCCCCACCTTGGCCTGACTCTCGCCCCCGCCGGAGGCTCTGGGAGGCTGCAGGAGGGAAGGGGCCGGTGCGGGACCGCAAGCCGCTCGGGCCCCGTCCCTCCCCTCCTTCCCCGCCCCTTCCCGCTCTCCTCCCCCTCCCCAGCAGGTCGCTACCCCGGCCCGGGGCCCCTGCTTCACCACCCCCACCCCCAACTCCAGACCTGGCTCTGAGCTGCGAGAGGGAGGGAGAGAGGGAAGGAGAAAGAGGGAGGCGCTGGGGGAGGGGAGGGCGACGGAGAGAAAGGGAGAGACGGAGACCGGGAGAGGAGGAGGAGGCTGCGGGTCGGGATCCCGGACGGAGCCGGAGGCCAGACCGAAAAGCGGGGGCAGGAAACGAGGGAGAGGAGGAGAGGAGAGGAGGAGAGGTGGAGCGAAACTAAGGGAGGGAGAGCCGGAGAGGGTCCGGGGGACGGGAAGAGACAAAGCGGGGGCGGGAGGAGGCTGGGAGACAGACCCAGGTGGGAGGAAGGAGGAGAGGGAGAGGCCGGCGGGGGGCGGGGGGCGCGACCGGGCCACCGACGGGCAGCCCGGCCGGGCGGGGAGGGACGCGGAGGCCACCGGGAGGGCGGAGACAGAGGGAGAGGGTGAGAGAGAACAGCGCCCGGAGAAGGAAACTGGAAGGTAGACACGGATCCAGGAGAGGGGGAGCTCGAGGCCCGGGGCTGCGGGGAGCGGAGGCGCCCGGGACTGCTGGGGCCCGGGCTGGAGGGCGGCGCGGCTCGCGGGGCCCCACCCACCTGCGGCAGGCCTTCCGGGCCGGGCTCTCCCCTCTCCTGGCCCAGCCTCCTCCCCTGCTCCCCTGCAAGGTGCGAGTGCAGACAGCACCCGGGTGGCTGGGCTGGGAGGGGCCAGAGAAGCGGGGGACTCGGGGCGCCGCGGTGACAGCCAGCCCTCCCGGACCGAAGCTGTTATCCTTCAAAGTGTCCGGAGGCCAAAGAAGGGAGGAGAATAGGGAAGAAATGACCCGGCAGGCTGGAAGAGTCCACGCTCCCAGATTCCCCCAGCCGGGAGTCACTGCAGCCTGACAGGGAAGTAGGGAAGGTGGGACAGATGAGGTTCCCATCCCCTGGCACCCTGGGAGCCGAATCTCCTCTCAGGCCGTGCCTCCTCCGGGAGGGAAGTACCTGGCCGGACCGGGTCTGAGGGAGGAGGCTGGGCTGGAACCGTGGGCTCCTTGGAAAGCAGAGGACTGCATCCAGGACTTCTGGTTTCTGGGGGTGCTAGGGGCCTGTGGCTTAGACCCTTGGGTGTTTTGGGGAAAGGAGACCGTGCCTTGCCGTGGCTTGGACCTCTGAGATCCTGGGGGAGGAGGACCTGGGGTTTGGATCCCAGAGTCTGAGGGAGGAGGTCTGGGCCAGCATTCCTGGATTCCTTGGAAGGAGGAGACTGGAGGCCTGGACCACTGGGATGTTGGGAAGGATAGGGGCATATCCTGGACTTGGGTTCCTTGGGGAGGAAGGGGTTGGGCCTGGATTCCTGGGTCCTGGCACCCACCCGTAGAACCGACCTTGCGGGGCCTTCGCCACACACAAGCTCGTGTCTGTGGGTCCGTGTCGGGGGCTCACCATCGCGGCTGGGACCTCCTCGGCCCTCCTGGCCCCCCACCTTGTCTGTCCATCTGGCCGATCTGTCCCCCTGCCGCGCCCCCCGGGCTGAGGTAGGAGGTTGTATAGTTGAGGAGGACACCCACGGAGATCACTATACGGCCTCCTAGCTTTCCCCAGGCTGCGCCCTGCACGGGATGGGACCCGGACGGGGCAGCGGGCACCCCCAGGCCCACACCCTGCCCTGGGACCCTGCAGGGGCTGGGCTAGCTTCTCTGCCCACCCCACGTCCCTGCTTCCTGTCCTCTGTGTCTCCTACACTCACTCCCCTCAGGTCCTGCACTGCCCCAGGCTTTCTGGTCCGTGACCTTCTGTTGGCTCTCCACGTCTGCTCCTGCCTTCTTTGGTCTGCTTTTAGTTTCCTGGCGCTCAGGGTGTCCTGGATCTGCCTCTGTCTATTCTCACCCCCAACCAGGGCCTGTCAGGGCCACTGCATTGCCGGCCTCTGGGTCCCTGAGACCCTTTAACCTGTGAGGACGTCCAGGGTCACAGGTGAGGTTCTTGGGAGCCTGGCGTCTGGCCCAGCCACAGTCCTGGGGATTGCAGGTCAACCCCTGACACCCTTCTTCCCGAGATCTGACCTCTGACCCCAGGCCGCTGGCCCCTCCCCCTCCTGGAGTGACCTCACAAAGGTCACCAGCCTCTCTTCAGGCCGAGACCCTCCCATGGCCCTGCTGGTCCTGGCGAGTGCTGTCCCAACTGCCCTGCGGGCCCTGCTGGTGCTCAGGGTGTCCACGTGGGCCTGTCTCCTCTGCTTCACCACTTATACCGAGCGCGTTGGCATCTGCAGGATGTTTGCCGGGGTGCAGGAGCCTAGGATTGCCCAGTGCGAGGAGGCCTTCACCGCTGCCTTTCAGGGTCTCTCAGACATGGAAATCAGTGAGAAGGGAGACCCTTCTACATGGACCGGGGCCTGGGAGGGCGGACAAGGCTTTGGAAAACCAGGGGAGGGAGAGACAGATGGACAGACAGACAAGCGCAGAGTAGACACTCAGAGAAGAAAGCCCAAGCGTGGCGAGGGGCTTCACAGAGCCAGGGAAAGGGGCCAGAGAGGTAGGAAGGGCAGAGAGGAGACTCCGAGGGCGGGACCAGGCAGCAGAGAAGAGGAGGAGGATGGCGAGGGCCCGAGGCCCCTGAGAGGGAGCTGGAGAGCTGGAGAGGCCGGGTGGAGACTGGGGCCTGGGGCCGGAGAGCAGAGGATGCCGCAGAGCTTCAGGCTGGACGGTGTTGGGTGGAGCTGCCTCCCAGGCCCTGCCCTCTCCCACCCTCAGATTACGAGGAGAGGAGCCGCCTGCATGACACCTTCACCCAGATGACACTGTCCCTCCAGGAGGAGGCCGTGGCCCGGGGTGAGTACCTCCTGGAGCTCAGGCTCGGAGCCCCCAGGACCGGGAAGGGGGCTCTGGGTTTGGGTGGTGGTCTCTGAGGGGCGACATTGGCACCATGAGTGAGACACGTTCAGCAGGACAGGTACACAGGCAAACGAGGTTGCCGATGATGGAGAGGAAGTGAGGGGTGGGTGGAGGAGACCTGGGAGGGCCTTGGGTACATGGACTGCGCCTCTGAGGTCGGCAGTGTTGCTGCTCCTCACCTGACCTCAGCCTGCCCAGCCAGGGAAGTGGGCTCATCTCCTTGCTTCCCAGGTGGCCTGCTTGAGGACAGGACAGACACAAGCATGAGTCCTCACAGTTAAAGCAGTTAGGGCCAGGGAGCCAGGAAGGAGGGAGCCATGGAGCAGATTGCTGAGGTGAGAGCTATGAAGGGACAGGGCCAGATTCCTGCTGGGACAGGCTCATGTGCCAGCCTCAGGCTGGTGAGACACATGTGTGCTGCTCGGTGGTACTGTGGAGGGGCCTGGGCCTTCGGGGGACACGTGTCTCTCTGGGGTCGTCGTGAGAGGCAACATTAGGCCTGGTTCCCCGAAGGTGCCAGAGGGTGGCCTTGTGGTGGAGTCAGAGGTCTGCAGGGAGACCATGGGGCCCTGATTTTAGGACAGACTGGCCACTTCCTAGGTCTGCAGCTCAGGGCTTATTTCTCCATCTGCTTGGGTTCCTTTTGTTCCCACCACACTCAATGTCAAAATTCCTCAAAGGGAGAGAAGCTCCCATCCTTCCGTGGGCCTCCAGAGGCCGCCAGGGTGGAGCAGGCTTCAGCTGGGGATCCCTCATCCCCAAAGGGAGACCTGAGGAACCCCAGAGCTGGAAGGAGGGGTGCATGATTAGGGAGACATGGAAGGAGGAGGCTTTGAGAAGTCAGGAATAAGGTGTGGATTTGGGTGTATGGGGCAGACTTGGAGGAGCATGGGCGCTGGGGCTGTGAGGATGGAATAGGAGTTGGGGCCCAGATGGAGTGCTGGGGTCTGGGTCTGATGGGCTGTTTGGGGAAGGGGGGCAGGTGACAGTGCCTGGGGCCTGGCTGCAGGGATCAGTGGGCTGTGGGCTGTCCCTGAGATGAGTGTGGGAGCAGAGCCCAGTGGGGCAGAGGGTTAGCCGGGTTAGGAGTGGTGATTGTGTGCACGCCCTGGGTATCTTGGGGTGGCTGGACGTTACTGTGACAGGAGCCCTGCTGGGGACACAGCTGGGGCCAAATCTGCGGATTCCCCACCCTTAGATGGGGCGTGTGGGTGACAGACAGAGACAGTCCCACAGTGCTTCCGGGTCTTGGGTGGTGGCCTATGCTGGGAGGAAAACAGGGAGCAGGGAACGGGGTGCTACTGAGAACAGGCTGGGCTGACGCGGTGCAGGTGAGAAGGTCCAGTTGGGCAAAGAGCTGAGCGAGGCGACAGTGAGCGGCCGATTGATAATGTGGGCAAAGGGTCCGGGTGCAGCGATGAGTCAGTGGGAAGGCCCTGGGGCCAGCGGGGCTGGAGAGGAGATGAGCTCAGACGGGTGCTCAGGGTGCCCGTCCGCGGAGACCAGTGGTTCTCAAGACCCAGGAGCGTCAGATCTCTCGGGGTGTTGCTAACATGCAGATGTCTGGGCCTGCCCTCTCCTTCTGGCCAGCGTCCTTCTTGGTTGAGGGCAGGAGGATGGAGGAGGGACTTGAAGGGTTTGACTGTGCCACGCCTGCCCAGCTCTGGATGCTCCTTGTGCCCCTGAAGGACGCCTTGGACCAGCCCATGGGGTGGGTGAGGAAGCCAGGCTCAGCTGGACCGGAAAGGGGGCGCTTAGAGATGTTTGGAGATGCTGGACTACAGTGATGGGAGGAGGCGAGGGCGGCTCCTGGTCTCTCCCGGATGGAGGGCGGGAGACAGGGACCAGTGGGCATAGGGCTGCCTCTTGGTGGCCACGAATGCTGTTGTCTGTGTCTGAACTATGGAGAGCAGAGTGCGGCACAGGTGGAGCTCCCCTTCCTCTGAAATCTGAAGCACTGCATGATCTGAAACTGTGAGCCACCAACAAGATTCCACAAGTGGAAAATCTCACACCTGACGTCACGCGACTGGCCTCAGTCCAAGGGATGTGTGACCGAGACCACACTCAAAACACTGTATGAAATTACCCATGGGCTCTGTGTATAAGGTGCACTTGAAACATAAAGGAAATCTGTGTTTAGAATTGGGTTCCATCCCTAATATATCTCAAATATTCTAAACTGTAAAAAGCCTACAAATCTGAAACATTTCTGTTCTCAAGGATTTTGGATAAGGGATACTCAGGCTTTGCAGAAAAGCAGGCAGTGTATTAGGTCAAGGATCAGGAGTGGGGGATCTGGAGCCCGAATGTCTGGGGTCCGATGTAGCTCAGACGGCCCCTAACTGATTTCTGTCTCAGTGTCCCCAAGCCACATTGGAAATGGTAATATTAATAGCTTACCTTCTCCTAAGGGCTGATAGACGCCAGGCCCAAACTGTGCCACTGACTGGTTTAGTACCGGGATGCCCCAGCTCTTCTGAGCCAGACACTGACAAGGGCCCCATGTTGTGAATGCAGAGACTGAGCATCAGGACATTCAGTCTCTTGGGCAAGGGTTGTGTAGGGAGGAAGGCCTGCTCTCCATCCCTCAGGTGTGGGACAGGTGTGCTCACAGATGGATGTGCCAGGACTCAAACCCAGGTGAGCTAGACCAGAGCTGAAGCTCCCAGCAGCGTGCTGCTCTTTGAGGGAGACTTTCAAACATCCTCCAGGGCCTTGTGGTGCGGTGATATAACCTACTCCTTTGCCTTTTTGAACATGGCGCCCCATCCCTGCTCGGACTCCAGTCCACACCTCCTCAGGTCACTTGGTATAGTCCACACTCACCCTCCTGTGAGTCAGTTGGTTTGGCCCATGGAGCTTTCAACCACTCTTCCAAGATCTTTGCCTCTCACCTGAGCGCCCCACTCTGACCACATCCTCCTGGCCCAGGACAGGCCTCCCAAGTCCTTGACTTCTCATTTGGAACCACTGCTTGGCTTCAGGGCTCCCTCTCTCTGATTGTGCATGTAGTGATCAGTGCTTCAGCCTTCAGCCATTCTTTTCCTTTCTTTCTTTCTTTCTGTTGTTTTTTTTTGTTGTTGTTGTTGTTTTGCTTTTCTGGGGATTGAACCTAGGGCCTTCACCCTGAGCCACGTTCCCAATCTTTTTTTTTTTCCTCCAGATGACAAGATATCTTTAAGTCACTAAAGCTGGGCTCTAACTTGCAATCCTCCTGCATCAGCCTCCCTGAATGCTGGGCGCTTCAGCCACTCTCTTCTTGCCAATAGTCTCAGATTCCCTCCTTCCTCTCACGGCATCAAATCACAGAGGAACCTTCCTTCCCTCCTCATAACGGCTTAAGCAAACTAGAAGTTTATTTAGCTAGCACTTAGGGCAAGCCCCAGTTGGCAGTTCCAATTTCTTGGGGAACGGAGCCCCTTTCGGCTTTCTGCTCCACCATCCTAGAATATAGCTCTGTACTCATGCCCTGTATGGCTACTAGAGCTCCAGCCGTCACAGCCTAGTTTCTGCAGCAGGATAGAGAAAGTGGAAGAGATAGGTAACATGGTACCTTCCTTTCAAAGGTACTTCCTGTGTGGTTCATGTATGATTCTAACACATCTCAGTGGCTGGAACTTGGTCATGTGACCATAACTGAGGCCTAGAAGTGAAATCTTTTAGCTGGGAGGGGAGGGAAGCACTTTCTCAGGTGAAACACAGTGTTCTGTTACTAAGGAGAAAAGTTAGACGTTTGGTGGCAGCTGTAACAAAACACCATAGGTTGGGTGCCTTAACAATAGACATTATTTTCTTCACAGTTCCAGAGGCTAGAAGTTCAACATGGAGGTGTCAGTGAAGGCAGGGTTGGTTTCTTCTGCGGCCTCTCTGCTTGGCCTGCAGATGGCCGACTTCTCCCTGTGTATGTCCGCCTCCTGGTTTCCTCTTCTTGTAAGAGACTAGTCGTCCTGGACGAGAGCCCCTCCCTATGACCTCACGGTAACATAATCACCTCTTTAAGATGAGCCCATTCTGAGGCACTGGGGCTGAGGACTTCAACAATCGCCTGGGGGGGGGGGGGACAGAATTCATACCCTGCAGCACCCTGGCAGCATCACACTGTGCCTCACGTCCAATTTCCAAAAGTGCCTCCACAGTGAGATGAACTTGGCTGTTGTTGTTCTCTGCAGGCCTCACCAAACCTTATAGCCGGGAGGCCATTCGAGGAGTCAGAATTGGAGTCCCCAGATGGAGCACACAAAAGAGCAGAGAGGGCTAGAAAGGAATAGCTGCTGGGGGCGTGGAGCAGTTGCAGGGCGCGCCCTGTTAGAGGGAGTGGCCCACCAAGCTCCAGCTAATTGCTGCCTTATGGCAATTCGGTCTCTGCAGTACAGCTTTTCCAAAAAAAAAAAAAATTCTTTTTTAAAGACATGCCAAGCATTTTATGTGACTTCCCCAAATTTTATATGTTGGCAACCAGTTCATTAAAAAAAAGAAAAAGAAAGCACTTCTCAGGCCAAATATAACACATCCAAGAGATGTATCTGGGCCCCAGGCCCCGGCCTGTGGTCTCCAGTTCCAGGCTTCCGGAATTCATTCTTCACATATTTATTGAGCTCTTTCAAAGAGGGCTCTCTTGAATTCTGAGGACACAGCACTAAAGAAAGACATTTATTTGGGTGGTGGACTTAAATGTCAACATATATAGACCTGTCATTTCAAACTGGTGAGAAGTGTGCATGAAACGAATAGGTTACTATGAGAAAAACTGGCTTAGAGCAGATTTGTGGCAATGGAAAACCTTTAAGGAGGTGACATGAGGTTAAGACATGGAGGATGCCTAAGACTAGAGGCCAGATGTGGTCCAAACAGAAGTCAGCGTGTGCAAAGGCCCTGAGGTGCTCGGAAATGTGGTTCTCTTTTGAAGGGAAATGAAAGTGAGCAGAAGGATGCATCAGAGAGGAAGAAAGAATTAGGTCAGTCCCCAGAAGGCCTAGTCGGTCCTGGTGAGGAATTTGCTGGTTAGGCTCCCTTTTCTCCCAACAAGTTAAAGGCCGATGTCGCGAGAGCTTCCATCCGGGACAGACTAAGGAGGCAGGAGGAGGTGAGGAGGAAAGAGCGTTGGTAATGAGAGAGACCTGGGCGTGCAGAAGGGGCAGATCCTATGACAGCAAGTCCAACCGACTGTGCCCACCATAGGCAAGGGCTGTTCTACAGGGCCCACTCCCCCCTCCAGGGTCCTTTGAGGTTGCCTTCCCTGCTGCCGCGGAAAAAATGAAGAGGGCCATTCTGCAGCTTAAAAAAGGTAAAGTAGCACAGTGAGAAGATCCCACTAGAGACCCGTCGGTAGCTCTCCAATCTCCTGACTGACTTCAGAGTTGGAGCCCTGAGTGGAGGATTTCTGACTCGCCTCATCACTCTTACGCTGCCTCCGCCCCTCTGGCGTGTTTCCTGTCCAGCTAGCACCTTTCTTGGGACAGTCCTATGTGCATGTTTCCCCTGCACCCCATTCGGATGGCTAAAGGAGGCCTGGTCCTGCCTGGCTTTTGGGAGCACTGTGGGCTTGGCCCCGCCCCCTGGGTGGAGCGAGGTGGGCCTAGTCCCGCCCCTGGGAGGAACAATGTGGTCTGGTCCAGCCCCGTGGGAGGTGCATGGTGGGCCTGTTCCCGCCCCCTCCGGAAGGTGTCTTGCTTGGTAATGTCTTTTGGAAGCTTTCTCAGGGACCTTCCTGGGGCTTGTGACGCTTCCTCTCTTTCCGCAGTCCAGCCCTGCATCCCTCCTTGCGGTAAGGATTTAATCCCAAACTCACATCTGGGGCAAGGGAGGCGGTCTGGGTCGGAGAGCATGAGTGGGTCTCAGATATGGAGGCACCTAAGAACCCTGGAGAAAATAAGTCAACTAGATATTGCTCGGAGGGCGGGTCCGAGAGCCAAGCCCAGTCAGTAGGGGTCTCTAGAGCTTTTAAACGATGACACAAGCAAGGCGGGGTCAGCACCCACCCGGACAAGGGTCACCGGCCAGGGCGCGGAAGGAGCCCAGGCCCGGGTCCTCGTCTGCAGGGATCCAGGAAGCCTCCCGGCGCTTCCACTGCCGCGGGTGCTACTCCACCGTGTGCGACCTGCCGCTGGACTGTCCAGGTGAGGGCGCCGGGGACCGGGCCGCCTCTGGGGACGTGGGTGGGGGCCTGCGGTGTGACCCCGTGTCCTCAGTGCAGGACGTGACGGTGGGTCGCGGCGACCAGGCCATGTTCTCCTGCGTCGTGGGCTTCCCGCTGGCAGAGGAGGAGATCGCTTACTCCTGGAGCTTCGCGGGGGGAGGTGTGAGTCGGGGCGCAGGGGGTCGCCTGCGAGGGGTGGCCACCGGGAGCTCGGTGTAGACACAGGCCTCCTGCAAGGGGAACCCCGGGGCTTAGAGGGGTGGGGTCCCAGAGTGGGGCCAGGACTCCGGGTGCGCTGGGAAAGGGATTGGGAGTAGGGAGGGGCAGGGACGAGGGCGTGGCCCGTCCGGGGGCGGGGCTTGCGGTCTGGGCTGCGCCTCTTGGACCCGGCCCAGGCGGACCCGCTCCCCGGCCCGCAGCTCCGGACCCGGGACGCATCCTACTTCCGAGGTATGCCACGGGCCCGAGGGTACCTGGTGCGGATTCGGCCGGTGCAGCCCACGCACCGCGGGACCTTCTCCTGCATGATCCTGCACGACCAGCGCCCCCTGGCGCGGCTCTACTTCTTCCTGAATGGTGCGGGCGGGCCGGGGCCGGGGGCGGGGCCGGCTGGGGCGGGGCCGGGGCGGGGCCGGCCGGGCTGACGCGCGCCCCCGCAGTGACCGGCCCGCCCCCGCGCGGGGAGACCGAGCTGCAGGTCCAGTTCCGGGAAGTGCTCCGTTGGGCGCCGCGGGATGCGGAAATGATCGAGCCCTGGAGGCCCAGCCTGGGCGAGTTGCTGGCCCTGCCAGAGGCCCTGACGCTGGGCAACCTGGCCGTGCTGGCCGCCGTCATTGGCCTGGCATCGGCCGCTGCAACGGTGCTGGTGTGGTGAGCCCTGCGTGCGGCTGACCCCTCAGACCCGGGGTGCGGGCCTGGCCTCCTCTGAGACCCGGATTTCTGTCCAGCCCACCTCCCACACACGTGCCTCCTTATCTCCCCAGGGCATTCTTCCGATGGTATTTGAGTGGTGACTAACGAAGGTACCTCGTCCGTATGCCATTTTCATTCCTAAAGTAAAGGGTACATTTCAGCGCTGTGTTCTTCTGACTCCTGAAGGTGGTCACTGCTGACTCGGCGAAGGGCAGTGTACTCCACGTGCTCAGGTGACTGTGGTGACAGTGGGGCCCGTGCTGAGGGTGTTAGGCTCCACCCCAGACCCCTCCTGCATTTCTGGCATTGCCTGACATTGCCCTGTCCAGGAGACACCCCTAGAGCCCCCAACGTGGCTGTTTTCCATCCTCTTAGACCGCCACCCGCCCACAGCTCATGACGGAGTGCTGAGTCATGTTTAATACCTCCTCAGCTTCAGATCCACTGCCAGGTCTCTACCTTTCTAACTCCGGACCCCTCGGTCCCAGTCATCACTGTGTCGCGTCTGAATCACGGTGGCAGCCTCCGAGCTCGCCTCCCTGTCCTTGCTTGGCCTTGTCCCTCTGTAGTCCATTCTCTTCGGACCTGGAGTGATATTTTACATCCGAGTGTCCATCCAGCCTTTTGGCTTGCCCGGGTTGCACTGGTTGAAGAGGAATTGTCTTGGGTCACATATAAAATACAGACTATGGTTAATGAATATGTGACAAGGCTTCCCTTTTTAATATTTGAACTTAAAAGTTTACAAAACATTACAAACCCAGGTATAATAACTAAGAACACTTACATGTCTGCTTAACATTGTGTCACAGGCACACACACACACACACCTGTAGGTAGGCTGGAATACTGTTACTGGCGATTGTGTCACACGTGTGTGTCATGTCTGACCTGCGTGGATTTTGATTATTTGACTGCGTGGGGCAGGTGCCCTCAGGCCCCCAATACTGTGCCGTCCCCTACAGTGTTCTGTTGTCACCTGTGTGTCAGTACTGTGCTCCGACACTGTGCAGTGGAGTCAGAAAGAATATTGCTGAATATCACATCATTGTTTTCTGCCTTGTCTGTCCAGGGTTGCATGTGACATCTTAAAGCGTATCAGATTGGGTCACTTCCCTGCTCCCAGTTTTTCAGTGACTCCCTCCTGCCAGTAGAACAAAACCCAATTCCTGCTCCAGGGCTCCAGGGCTCCACAGGTTCCAGTCCTTGCTGACTCTGTTGGCCTTGCCCCCTCCCAGGGGTCAAGGTGGAGTTATCAACCTCTTACCCTGCAGTTTTCTCTGGCCTTTTCTCCTTCCTAGTGAGCCTTCCCTGTCTCCCCAGGATCTTGTATATACATGTTGTTTCTTGCCTAGGATAGTGTTTTTTCTCTTTTTTTTCTTTGTCCAGTTAATTATGATTTTCCTCCAGCAGCCATTATGTACCTTAATCTCCATGACAACTGTGAGTCCAGCCAGCACTGTTTTAGCTTCTCTACCTCCCCTCACCCCACTTGCTACTTCTCAGCCCCAGGGGCCTCTGATTTTAGTCCCCCAGACATTGTCCTATCCCCAGGCCTTTGGTCTTGAGAAGTATCTCCAGGAACGCACCCCGCTGTCCTCACATGGGCTCCAGCCCACGTGCCACCTTCTCTGACTGCTCCCCACCCCTGTGACTGCCTGACACCCCCCCACACTTTAGCTTGTGGAGCGCTCATCTGGGTGTACTGGTGTTAACTCTTGTTTTCATCGGTTCTGTCCTCTCTCCCTAAGAGAAGCTGCTGAGCATGGAATCATTCTCGATCCCTCTTGTGTTCCCTTTCATCAATTCATTCACTCAGCATGGATTTACTGAGCACTTACTATGTACCAGGTATTTTCAGAGCACTCTAGAACTGGTAATGAAAAATTAGAAGAAGAAAAAAAAATCTGGCCTCTCATCAGACTAAGATTCTAGTTGATAATAAACGAAAACTTTCTCTACTCATGACACCAAAGTGCAAAGTGTAGTGCCGTTTTTGTAGTGTTTTTTTGTTGTTTTGGCCTTACAACATATCCCCCAACTCTCTGGACACTAGTTGAGTGTTTATAATTTAATTCTGACACCAACTATCAGAGTTAGTGTCAAGCTCTAAGGATTTAGGGGCTCAGACCCGCAAGCTTGCTGTCCCTTTAGGTACCACTCACAAATAGTGGGTCCTAGGGGTCCCTGGAAACCCACCCCCATCCCCAGTTCGATAATTTGCAAGAATCATTACATAACTCAATGAAACATTTTTCACTTTGTTATAACGGATATTATACAGAGAATGTTCATAGCCAGGTCAAGAGGTACATGGGGCAAGGGCCGGTAGGGTCTCAAGTGGCAGTGTTTCCGCTGGGGAGCACTACCCTCCCGGCACGTGGATGTGTGCCCCACCCTGGAAGCTCTCTAGGCGCCCCGCACTTTGTGGCTCCATGATTCAGGTATAGTCAGTGACTGTCAATCTCCCAAGGATGGCAGTTGAGGCTGAAAGCTCCATGCACCTCATCAAGGCTTAGTCTCACTGGTGACCAGCCCCCATCCAGGGGCCCCTCAAGACTCAGGAGTAGAACAAAGGCTGCTCCTGTCACCCAGGAAATTCCAGGGTTTAGGAGCTGTGAAAGATGCAAGTTACAGGGTGTTTGGAGCTGGAGATCAGGCCCTGAGGACAAACACCTCAGATTTTTCTTACCGTGTTCCAGTAAGAAATTAAAATAACATCGAGTCATATGAGAATATATGTAAGGAAGAAGATAAGGCAGAGAAACAGACTGGGAGTGTTGCGAGGGAGGAGGTTTCAGAAGGATCTTTCGGGGAGACCGGACTGAGAAGGTGACTTTTGAGTAAAGACTGGAGGAGCTGAGGTGGGGCCGTCTGGATATTTGTGTTAGAAGCATTCCAGGCAAAAACAGCTGGAGCAGAGTCCCTGAGGCAGGGGGAGTCTATGCAGGAACAGCCAGCAGGGCAGTGTGGCTGGAGAAGGACTTCAGGAAATGAGTACGGGGTGAGGTCAGAACCCACAGGGAAGGGGGCCAGACCGAGCCAGACGTTTGGCCACTGTGAGGTCTGTGGGTTTTCCTCTAGGATGAGAGTCACGGGCAGCTGCGAGCCAAGGAAGGTTGTGGTCTGATGGACAAGGCTACTCGGTACAAGGGTGGAAGTCAAGCCACTGAAGGTGCTGCGGTCATTGAGGCAAAAGATGAAGCTCAGGGACAAGGTGGTGACAGGGAAGGTGAAGAGATGTGGCTTCAGATTTGTGTGAAAGGTAGACCCAGTGGGGTTTGCTCAAGAATGAAGAGTTTTAGGAACCCCCTGGCACAATGGAAATATCCTAGGTCTGTACGATCCAGTATGGCAGCACCCACTGCCTGTGCCCAGTGTGGAACTGAGTAGATAACCTTCGGTCACTTTGATTAGTATAATAAATAGTCCCTGCTCTGTGACAACAGAAGTCTCAGGGGCATGTGCCCCTGGGTATGCCTAACAAATCACTCTTGTGTACTTTTTGAGAAGCTCCCCGAAGCCAGGAGCTCTTACTCAGTTCTGTAGTTGCAAACCTGGCAGAGCGCACAGAACTCAGGAAGTACTTGGTAGATATGTTTGTGACTTATTGGATCAGTGAATGACATAAGTATTATAAAGTCCCATGTAGTAGTGGCTACTATTTGGACAATACAGCTGTGCCTGCTGAGGCAGGGAAACGGGGGGAGCAAGTTTCTAGGGGTTAGGGGAGGAACGAGGAGAGATGGGAGTGGGTGTTGGGACTGTTAAGTATCTGGCTCTGCCATAGAGGCATGGGGAGATACACATCTGGAATGGAGGGGCAAGGCCTGGTCTGAAAGTCAAAGATTGGGAGTCCCGTCTCTAAGCATAGAGCATGGATGCAGTGGTCAAAGCCGTGGATCACGGGAAGCCAGTGTAGATGGGAAAGAGGATGAGAAGAAGCTTCTCCAGTGTACAGCAGCCATGTGAAGAGGATGCAGAGAAGAAAACCAAGGGAGAAAGACAGCTAGGCACCTTCAGCCTCCTTAAAGCCAAGAGAAGAAACCATTTCAAGGAGGAAGAGAGCACACCTGCACCAAATGCTGCCAGATCACACTGTAGCAGGCCTGAGAACTGGTCATTGGCCTTAGTGGTGTGGATGTCGCAGTGAGCTTGACAAGAGTGGCTTCTGTGGAAGTGAGTAGGTGGAGCAGGCCGCTGCCTGGCTGGTTGGCATGGGTTTGAACCTGTGGGAATCAACATCATTCATTATGGAGATAGAAATCAAAACCACAACGAGATACCAGTTTGCACTCACTAGGTTAGTCTGTAATCAGAATGTCACGTCGTAAGAACCCTGGCAAGGGTGTAGAGAAATTGGAACCTTTGTGGCCTTGCTGGTGGGAATGTGAAGTAGTACAGTCCCTGTGGGAAGCGGCCTGTCAATTCCTAAAGGGAAAAAAGACAATGAAACAATTACCACAGAACCCAGCAGTTGCTATCCTAGGTAAGCAGCTGGGATGAAGCTCCCCCAGTGACTCCCTGCTTGGGTGGGGCCTAAAGGGTGACTGGATTATGAGGGTCCTAACCCTGTGATCACTCACGCCTGAGTACAGCTGGGTGGGCTGTCGGAGGTCCCTGGGACATGCCTTTGGAGGGTGTACCTTCTCTCACTCTCCTCCTGCTCTGCTTCCGGGCTTCCAGAAGATGGGAGCTTTCCCTATCCTAGTGCTTCTGCCTGGGAGCCACCCAACTGTGGACTGAAGCCTCTGGAACTGTGAGCCAAAAATAAGCTTTTTTTCCCTTTAAGTTGTGTATGTTGTGCATTTGTCCAGCAGTGGAAACCTAACACAAAACTGAAGAGAACTAAAAAAACTCTGTCCATAGAAAAACTTGTGCATGAACGTTCATAATGGCTTCGAAGTGGGAACATTGCCAAGGTCCATCAGCTGATAAACGGGTAGAAAAAAAGGTGTTGTATCCGTACTATGGAATATTACTTGGCCATAAAAAGGAATGAATCAGAGATAGATGTGGCAACATGAACAAACCTTAAAAACATCACACTAGATGAGAAAGTCACGAGACAGCATATGTTGCTTGACTCCACTTCTATGAAATTTCTGGAATAGGTAAATGTATTAGAGAGCAGATGAGTGGCTGTGTAGGTCTTGGGAGGATGGAAGATGAGGAATGAGGGGTGATCATCAGTGGGTATGGGAGTCTTTTCAGGAGTGATGAAAAAGTTCCAAAAATTAGATTATGTCAATGGCTGCACAAATCTACAAACTTACTAAAAACCCCTGGGTTGTACATTTGGAAAGGGAGAGACAAATACAGGCGGCTCTCAAGTTTTGCTATTAACAGGAAAAGAAACGGGGAAACTGAGGTCGAGAGAATTTGAAACATAGGGGAGAACAGTATATTCAGGTGGTTGTGGGAAAGAGCTCCAAGGGGGGGAAACAGTGCTATCGCGGGCCAGGTAGGGAAAAGAGCCAGAGTGAGACCTCGACCCACAGCGGGGGTAGGGGTCACAGTGGGGCTGGGTTCGGGTCCCAGCGAAGACAGCTCTCCCCTGCAACCGGAAGCAGCAGCGAGATCTCGGCTTCCGTGCCTAGGCAAGGGTGGCCCGGGCCAGGGGCATCACCCATTGGCGATGGCAGTGCCCCACCGGGTCTGCGAATGGCCTCACGGACGCTGGTCCGGGGATTGATACCTCTGCTCCCCGCAGGGCGAACACGGGTTCCAGGAAGGAGAATCCCCAGCCCAGGTTCAAACAGCCAGCACCGGACAGCCAGAGCACGCAGTTCTTTCGAGGAGGCCTCCCCAACCAAATTCTCAGAAAACGGGCCAGGGTGCTCAGAAGAAAATAAATAAAGTTCTTTATTATTTCCTAATCACAGTACGAACATTAAATAAGCACAGGGCGGAAGTGGGGCCTTTCCCCCCTTCCTAAAAACCCACACCCCGATCAATAAATACCCTCCCCAGACGTCCCAGCCCGCACGCAGTCCAGGCCGAAGAGCCTTGGGTCCGTCCTCCCCCGAGGAGGTAAACTGAGGCCCGGAGAGGGCGTCCGAGGCTGCGGGTGTCCTGGGCCCCGGGCCGGCCCTGCTCACACCTGCACGCGGTAGCCCCCCGCCCGCCGCCGGCAGAGCCTGCGCACGCCCACCCAGTACAGCGCCATCATTGCGGCCCAGTAGCCGGCGTAGGCGGCCGCGCCCGCCGCCAGGTGGCGGCCCTCGGCGAGCCGCGCGGGGCTGCTCCAGTCGGCCCCGGCCTCCTGCGCCACGCTGCGCACCAGGCCCCCGAGCAGCAGCAGAGCCCAGAGCGCCAGCGGCAGCGCCGGGACGTAGTTGGCCGCCAGCCTGCGGCGGCCCGAGGTGCCCCAGCCGCTCTGGTTCATGGTGACCAGCGCCAGGAACTTGGCGGGCAGCAGGCCGCACATGTAGAGCGGCGCGTACAGCGACAGCAGCACCATGCGCCCGCAGCCGCGCAGCCAGGCCGCGAAGGCCGCCTTGGCCAGCGCCACGCCCTGCACGCACAGCAGCACCCACAGCAGCGCCCACGGGCGCCCCGCGTAGAACAGGCGCAGCACGGTGGCCGCCACGAAGAACGGGAAGAGCCCCGACACCACCGCCTCGTAGGTCATCCACGCGTGGTGCCGGTGCCACCACAGTGCGTTGTACAGCCACTCGCGGAAGTAGGACTTGGACCAGCGCGTCTGCTGGCTGAGCCAGCGCAGGAAGGACGACGGCGTCTCCGAGTAGCAGCGCGAGCGCGACGTGTACCTGGCGGGGACAGCGGAGCAGGAAGGGGTCAGGCTCCTCCGGGCCACCAGGGGTCCGGTGCCAGACAGGAGGGACGTGGGGGGGGGGTCGCCTCGGCCGGACCCTGGGGGAGGGCGGCTCAACCTCTCTGGTTTCCTGTATGTAAAAACAGCGTCCCTGGAAGTGCTGATCTAGTCTGGGGAGCTGAGGCAGGGGCATCTGGCGTCAGGGCCCCGCCTGGACAATTTAGAGAGACCCTGTCTCAAAATAGAAAAGATCTGCAGCCGTAACTCAGTGCAGAGGCCCTGAATCCAATCCCCAGTGCCAAAAGAAGATCAGGAAAAAAGGAAGGAGAAAGAAAGGAGGGAGGAGAGGGTGAAGGAGGAAGAGAAAGGGTGGAGAGGGAGAGAAAAAAGAAGCAAAAGGAAAGAAGGCGAGAGAAAGAGGGACGAGGGAGGGAGGGAGGGAGGGTTGCTGTGAGGACCGCATGGGATCAAAGGCCAAGTGCCTGGGACCAGGCCACAGTACTTGCTCAACAGATGTCAGCCGCTGTGATGTCGCTGTGACTAACACCTTCCTCCTGACAGGGCCAACGTCCTAACGGTCACTGAGAAGCCGTTACTAATGCCGCTGTCATTAAGCCGTTACCAACACGACTCTGCCTGCTATTCCTGGCAGGTCCTGGCGGGAGGAACAGCCTGGGGCTGCTAACTAGGGGAGACCTCGTGTCAGCCGTTCTCAAGGGAACCCCTTCTTGTGGCTGTGGCGGACGTCAGTGACCCGTCCCAAGCCCGTCTGTGGAAAGTCACGGGCCACGCGCAGTCTGCTCCTTGCGAGGGGTCTGTCTCCACAGGGCCACTGCCGAGTGGAGTGTCCAGGCCTCCTCCTTCAGGTCACCTGGCACCCACAGTGGCCTGCCTGCTTCTGCCCTTGCCATCTGTTGTCAAAACAGCCGCCAGAGGGATGTTGTCACATGCCGCTCCTCTGCTCCAAACCCTCTAGGAAGCTGGGCGTGGTGGTTCACACCTGTAATGCTAGCACTTTGGGAGGCTGAGGCAGGAGGATCATAGGTTTGAGTCCAGCCTGGGCAGCTTAGTAACTTAGTGAGACCCTGACTCAAAATAAAATGTTTTTTTAAAAGGTTGGTAGGCTTCATATGAAGGGCCCTGGTACTTAATCCCAAGTACCCCAGTATGGCAGTGGGGGGGGTGAAGGTGGGGGAACCAAAACACAAAACCCAAACCCCAGCTGCCTCCAGGGCTCCCTCACCTTCGTCCAAATCCCATCAGCCTTCCTGAGGACCTGCTTGCCATCTCCTTGCTCCTGTCCCCCAAACGCTTCCAGCTCCTCAACCAGCTGGCTCATTTTTGGAGCCACACTACTCAAGCCTCAGTCCCCCCACCCCAGGCACTGCATTTAACACTTCCTGGGGCCCCCGGAACTCCTCCCCTCTGTGTGTGTATGGGGGGCTCTTCCATAGCGCAGATGGTTAACGTGCTACGTGTTACCTGATTTATTGTCTGTCTCCTCAATCAGTGTAAGCACGAGTCTGCGTCCCTTCCGTCCTCTGCGGTGTCCCCAGAGCTTAAACCTTGCAGGCATCTAATGAGTATCTGTCCAGTGAGTGAACCCACCACAGCGCCAGTGCTTCCCTGGGTCGATCCCACTCTCTCTGGATCTTTCACAGGTCTCCAGGTAGTCACACTGAACCACTTCTCCCAAAGCGTTTAGCATTTCCTGGAGATCGGGAGCTCTGCTCCTCTCTCACTTGACTCTTCTCCTCTTTTCTCTCCTCCTTCTCCCTCTTCCTCTTTTTCCTCTCCTTTTTATTTTATTTTATTTTTTTGTTGTTGGCTTGCTCACTAGTTAGATCCCACCCCATCCACCCATCTCTCACCTTTCTCTCTCACCTCCCTCCTTACCTGCAGTGACCAGGGCTGCCTTGATCTCCAGGGTGGAGCTGACGGCCCCTCCCAGCTTGTTTCTTAGGGTGGAATTCCCCACCCTCGCCTTGTCTCATTTGGTGGAGCTCACTGGTCACATGGCTCAATGCAAATGTACCTTGGCCCTTGATGGTATCTTCCTATGTCCCCTATTATCTCACTTGGTAGAGCCCTCTGTCCTGCAGATGACCTTGGGCTTGGAGGATTCCCCCCAACCACACACACACACACACACACACACACACACACACACACACACGAATGCTCACTGCCTCCCCACACACCCCACCATCCAGTCTCTTCAGCTTACTTGGTGGCGTAGCCCATGCTGAGCATGCGGTTGGTGAGGTGCCGGTCATCCCCAAAAGTGCAGTGGGTGCCCAGGAACTTCTGGTTGTACCAAGCCTCCAGGAACTGCTGCAGGAGGTTGTTCCTGTACAGGCCTGGGTGGGCGTGGGGTGTGCCAGAGGATCAGCCTTCGCTGTCCCAAGGCCAGGGCGCTCCCAGTCCCACCTTCAACTCCAACCCCATCCTTCAGGGTCTCAGCCCAGCCTGTCTTGTCTCCAGCTACAGCTCCGGCCCCGGTCCTATGCTCAACCCCATTCCAACATGCGAATCACTGGCCCATGCCACTTGAGTGTAGGTCTGCCCACTCTGGTGCCAATGCCCCACCTACCCTCCGCCCCATTCAAAACCCGCCTCCAGCACCAAGCTGAGCCCGACCTGTCACTGACTGCAGCCCTGTCCCATCCCCTTCCAGACTCCCTTCCCCAGCACAGCTCCAATCTCCATGCATACCCTTTTCTAACCCATTCCCCACCCCACCCCATCCCCAGCCCCATGCCAACTTCTAATCTTACCCCATCCCAGTTCCACCCCAGGCTTGTCTTTGCCCCCAGCCCGAGCACATCCTCAGCCCCCGCTGGGGTCCCCTTCTCCACAGGTGCTCACCCAGGGGGCCGCTGATGCAGGACACGCAGTGAAAGTAGCTCTGACAAGCTCGCTCCACATTGAAGGCAACCCAGTACCGCAGGCTGCTCAGGAAGCTGACCCAGGAGTCCAGAGGGTTAAGGATCCGAACGTCTCCCCCAACCGCCCCGACTTGGGGATCCTCATCCAGCACCCGCACCAGCTCCAGCAGCGCCATGGGGTCCAGCCTTGTGTCTGAGTCACACACCTGTGAGGTAGAAGGGCCAGGATCAGACCAGAACCTGCACAGGGCTGGTGCCTGGAGGAAGGGCATCCCCGGTGGGGGATGTGTGACCAGGGCGTTCTCCAAACAACCTGAATATCACTGTGAAACGTTCAGCCATTTTCCACGTCTAATTATTTCTTAAGATGAACTACAAGACCCATGCTCTTGGACAATACCCATCTCTAGCGTGTGCACGGGACCTGTAGCTTACTTCTAACAAAATATGGTAAAAGTGATGGGTGATGCTGCCTCTAATTCTATCACCTTGTATGGAAGTGGTGAGGGGGTTTTCCCATATAACGAAGGCCCCAAGTGTGTTAACTATAAGTTAATCAAAATGAGACCATCCTGGGTGGGCCTGTCCTAATCAGGCAAGGCCTTTACACAGCGAGTCTGGAGGTCAGACTCTCGCCCCCTGGCCTGGACCAGGCAAGCTACCACGAAGCTTCTGTGGCTTCAAGAAAAAATCTGCCAACACACACAGGCTTGGGAGAGGACATCTGCCCCCGGATAAGACCCAGACCCAGCTGGCAGCTGACTGCAGCCCGGTGACACCCTGAACAGAGCACCAGTCTGTGCCCAGACTCCTGACTCACAGAAACCATGAGATAATAAGTTGTAATGGCAACCGAGGGACGCGTGTTGTTTGGGCTGCTGAATTTATCGTAATCTGTTTTGCAGCAATAAAAATCTAATGCAGTCTATTAGTGACTAAATCTCCACATGGAATGGCTGAAGGAATGACTAAGTAAACAAACAACTCTCTACCCTGAGTACATGGATGGATGGATGAAGAGAATCTCAACATCTAAGAAAGGGAGAGAAGGAACAGAGCTCTGTGTTTGATGGATAAGTGAATGAGTCAGAGTGACTGGTCTCACCCTGGATGGAGAGATGGGTGTATGAATGAATGAGTAAAGGAAAGAGTTTCTACACTGATGAATGAAGGAAGGAAGGAAGCAATATTATACTGAATGGATGAGAGACTAATAAATGGCTCTCTACATGAAATGAATGGACAGATGAATGATCACTGAATCAAGGAAGTAAAAAGTTTCTGCCTGGAATGGCTAGTTGAACAAAGGGAGAGTAAATGACTCTAACTGATCAGATAAATGAATGAATGGTCTCCATACTGAATGAATGGCTGGATGACTAGATAAGTGAATGAAGGGCAGTTGGGTGAATGAGAACGCCAGGAAGGATTCTGTGCATTGAACAAATGATCTCCACATTGCATGGGTGGACAGATGCGTGTGCGGATGCTGAGTGAAGGAAAGTCCTTCCATTGAGGGATGGATGGATAAAGGAAGGAAGGAAGGAAGGAAGGAAGGAAGGAAGGAAGGAAGGAAGGAAGGAATTCAAGTCTCGACACTGCATTTGATCTCAGCCAAGGCGGCGCCTGCACCGAAGGAAGGGCCCAGGGCCGGGGTGAGGCCGCCGTCCGCTCACCTGCACGTAGTCCACCGAGTCGCCCAGCGCCTTGAAGGCCGTGTACATGACCTCGCGCTTGCCGCCCCAGCGCTGCGCCACGCACACGCACCTGCGCGTCCTGACCAGCGCCTCCACCGCCAGGCGCCCCGGGTCCTCGGCTTCCACCTCCCGGTAGGCGCCCGCGCCCACGGCGCCCGCCGCCGCAGGTTCCCAGGGCTGGTGGTAGTTGCCGTCCCACACGTAGGTGGCGGGGTCCTCGTCGGCGAAGACCTCGCGGAACATGTCCACCATGTAGAGGTCCTCGGCGCCGTTGCCGTCCACCACCATGAGCACGCGCAGGCGCGCGCGCGGGTACAGCAGGGCGCGCGCGGACGCCAGGCACTGGCGCAGGTAGGCGGGGTCCTCCTGGTAGGCGGAGATGGTCAGAGCCACGGTGCGCGCCGAGCCCGCGTCCGGGAGCCCCCGCCTGGCCGCGCGCCGCGCCGCCGCCGCCACCCGCCGGTGCTCCAGGTATGCGAAGAGGCTCTGCGCCACCAGGTGCGCCGACAGGAAGGCGCCGTACAGGCCGAAGGCCAGGAGGCCGTGGCGATCGGAGGCCAGAGGCACCCCGGCCGCGTAGGCCCAGGTGATGAGGCACAGGATGAGCAGGGCGAAGGCGACGGTCAGCAGTCGCCGGGCCAGCCCGGAGCAGCGGCGCGCGGTCCGGGCGGGTTTGGGCAGGTCCTGCGGGCGCGGGGAGGGAGAGAGCATAGAGCACGGGCAGGCTGAGGCCCCAGGCGCTTCTGGGGACAGCGCCCAGGCTGGGTGGGAGGTGTCCCAGCTTTCCTACAGAACATTTCCCCGGGAGGAAGATATTTTTACTAGAGATACTAGAAAGACATTTTTATTGGTGAGGGCGATTGTGGCAAACCGGTGTCCAGGGGAAAGCCGGATTTCATCCGTCCTGATAACGAGTTATTTTTCACATTTTTATCTTCCCTTAAATGCACTAGCTCTAGACACAGTGGAGTGTGGCAGGATTCCCTCTTCCGTCTTAGTGACACATGAAGTCAAGATCGTCTCACAACGCAAGGGACTGGAAGGGTAAGGTAAAATGGCCCGTACCAGGCACCTTTCATATGAACCGACTTATTTTAACCCTCATATTAGTCTGTGGGGTAAGGACTGTCATCGTCCCATGTTACAGATGGAGCAACTGAGTCACGCAGAGGCGGAGCAACCTGCCTTGGCCCTGCCAGGTGGGAGCTGCTGCTCTTTTCTGTTACAGGTGAGGAAACTGAGGCCCAGCGAGGTGAACTCTCTTGCCCAGGGCCGCTCAGGTGAGTACCTAGAGGAGTACCTGAGGCTTCAGACTCAGACAGCGAGGCTCCAGCGCTGCCCTCTCCCTGCCTCCGACCCCCTGACGCAGCTTCCCGGCTGAGTTAAATGAGTCTTCCGGACCCACAGGTGACATGGCCACGGAGCCCATTAAGCCGCCCTTGGAACGCAGTGGGGACCGAAATTTTTCTTCTGTTTAGTTTTAATTAAGAAATTAAAACGGACACTCCAGCTATCGGCAAGCGTTTATAGTACATAGGTTTAGAATGAATTCAGTGTACGAAGCTTCTGTTTCACAACTATAAATTTTACAAAACTGAAGCCCAGATTAAGTATTTCCCACGAAAATGTAGGCTCTCCTTGGCAGTGCTGTGCGTACACACCGGACTTTGAGCCTGAGTCCGAGAATGTAAAATATCTCATTCATAGTTTTGTATAGATTACTCATGGAAACTATCATATTTTCAATAAATAGCAAAGGTCGGAATGTTAAGGCCTGCGATAGCCTGCAAGATAATAGCTTTTTATATTTTCATACGGTTAAAAAAGCCTAAAGGAAAATAATAGTTTGTAACACATGAAAATTATATATGTATATATATATATTTTTTTTTGTGGTACCAGGGATCAAACTCCCTTGTGAGGCAGGCACCATGCACTGAGCTAAATATCCAGCCCTTTAAACCAAATTTTATTGGCACACCACTGCTCTCCTCTGTGTATGCATTGTCTACTGCATCAAAGTCGAGAAAAGAGAGATCAGAGATCATAAGACCCCCACATTCTCAAGTATTTATTATCTGGACTTTCACAGAGAATGGTTTCCGACTCCTAACACATTGGGTTAAACAACAGATACATTATTAAAATTAATTTCACCTGTTTTCACTTTTTCAAATTTTTAAATCATATCTGTGGCCCATGTGCTGCCTCTGTAGGACAGAGGTGAGGTGAGGTAGAGCATTTAGGATTTGTTTTTACAGGACACTGTGCTGCCCATGCTGACCTCACACTTGCAGTCCTCCTGCCTCAGCTTCCTGAGCAGCCTGGACTACAGGCATGTGATACCCAGTTTGAGGTAGAGAACTTAATTGCTCAGTAATGATTATTCTTTCTTTTAGAATTTTGTTTCTCGGTCCTTTTACCCCAAACCTGGCCTTTCCCAAGCTCACGGTGGTGGCCCAGTTCATACTGATGGACCCACATACCCATCCATGTTCCCCCCCCCCCACACACACGTGTGCTCACATGTGACGGGGCACACAGACTAAAAACATTCGTTTTCTACCACACAGCCACTGACACCTTCTCTCAGATCACATGACCTGGTGGCGCCACATCAGCCACACAGGTGAGCCTGCTCACACCCACTATACACCATCCACGTGGACACACGGCCTTCATGAGGAAGGAGCAGCATGGATAAGAGGTGTGCACATGACAACAAACTCAGTCACACCCCCCTCCCCCTGTGTCTGGGACGAAGACAAGCAGTAGTTAACATTTCAGATGAGAGGGCCGGGGATTTAGCTCTGGTTCCACCGCCTGCCTCACAAGTGCAAGGTCCCGAGTTCAATCCCGGGTACCAAAAAAACAAAAACAAGACATTTCAGATGAGATCGGACCATACGAAATTGCCATTTTTATAGCTAAGGTGCAGCTGAACATGGGCCATTTCATTTGGTTCAACTAAATACTTTACTGAGTCCACAGTCATGGGTGACAGGCAAATACAGCTCTCTCCTGCCTTCTGCTTGCTTGCCCTCTCTTTCTGTCTCTGTGTCCCAGGGCGCACAGGCAGACTTACACGGATTTAGAGCAAGGTAGACATGTACGGGAGCGCGGACACGTCACAGCGCACATCCATGTACCTGCATGGCGGCCCACAACACGGCAGTGACAGGCAGGAACCCACATGCTCAGCCCCACACGCTCCGCGTCCCGCACACACCCGTCTCAGCCTCACTCGCAGGACACCCACGAAATCACACCGCACGCACGTGGGTGCCGGCACGCGTGGCCACACACCTGGGTCATCCTGCGGACTGGGTCGCTGCTCTGGCGCTCTGGAGTCTGTGGCCCAGAGCTGCAGCCCCGTCATTTGAAGAGCGGAGGAGCTGACGTCAGGAGGAGCTGGCCAGGGCCTGTGAGGTCACAGGGTGGCAGCTCCACCCGCTTCCCGCCAGGGCCGCTCCCCGCCAGGCACCTGCCTTCCAGCTCCGCGCTCACCTCAGCCTCCTGCCTGGCCCTGCAGCCGTCTGCCCCTCTCTCCTGCCTCCTCTCTTGCACGTGGGGCGCCCCCTCTCGCTACCATGCCCCGCCCCTGAGTCTTGCCGGCCCTCTCCCTCCCTGGCTGTGTTTCTCAGCCGTCTCTCCAGGTCTCCTTCCCTCCGGTCCCCACCTCTCCTCCACTTCTCTCCACCCCATCCCCACCCTCAGCTCTCCTCCCGCCCCTCCTACCTTCCTTCCCGTCACCCCAACACTGCCCCTTCCCCTGGGCCCACCCTTCTCTCCCTGGAGTCGCCTGCAGGGAAGCGTCTCAGCCACAGGCAGGGGGAATGGAGCCCGCACACGCGTGTGTCTGGGGGTGGCTGTGTGCACTGGCTTGGAGGCAGGGCTGCCGGGAACCAGAGTCCCGAGAACATCGGCCTGACTGATGTGCGTGCGCGCGCTTGCGTGTGTGTCTGCACATGTGTGTGCCAGAGTTTGGGGCACAGGGCAGGAATTTGCCTCCCCCGAGACTCAAGGGTGAATTTAGAGTTGTCACAGCTGCCAGGAAACGGAGTCAGATCAAGGGTGGAAAAGCGATGCAGACCTGGGCCACCTGCACCCCAGCTCCCGGGGGCCGGAAGACTCATTGTAAACGTCAGCGTTTTCATGCCTTTCTTTCTGTGAGTTTAAAAATCTCTGTCTAACACTCTCCCAGTGCTCCTCTCGCTGTGAGTGGTCAGGATGGCGTCTGACCCACGGCAGCAGCTGTCAGGGGCTCCCTGTCTTCATCGCTGGCCTCTGACTCACTGACTCCATGCCTCTGTCCACCCGGGGCTCTGGCTCCACGTGTTTCTGTTTGCTGCTCTCCCACCCTCCACCCCATCTCTCTGTCCCCCGTCGCCTCTGCCTGATCCCCCCTTCTCTCTGGGTCTGCGTCCCTCTCAGTTCCTGACTCTTGGCCTCCTAGACTTCCTGATCCTGTGACTCAGAGTCTTTCCCACCCTGGGTGTGTGTCTGTCTGTCTGTCGCTCTGTCTCTCCCTGCCCACCTATCTGTCTCCGCCCTCAGTCTCTTTCCATTCCCACCTCTTTCTGAGGTGCTATCTCTGCAGGAATTTTTCTGTGTCCCTCTGACTCGCTTGCTCTGTCACTTTTCTCTCTGACTTTGTCTCTCCATCCTCCTTTCTCCCCCTTGCTCTATCTCTTCTGGCCTGGCCTGGAGCTCTCCTCTGCCAAAGTCCTCACACCCTGGGTTTCCCCGATGGGGAGTCAGGGTATGGTTGCTGGGTCAGGGCTTTGTCCCGGCCTGACCATTAGGGAGAAGCCAGGGGCCTCCCACCCACACAAGGAGACCAGGCGGTGCCTGACACTGTTGCCTGGAGCCCAGGCGCCGGGTGTCAGAATGATGGATCTGCTGATGGAGCCCAGCCCAGAGGAGGGGGAGGTGGTTCCCTGCACCGTGGGAGGGGGCAGCCCAGGTCCCTCCCAGAAGCGAGGCATTTGGCTGTCCAACCTCCACCCTGCCCTGCTCGGGTGGAGCCGCTGTATAAAACCAGATGTTTCTAAAACCAGAGAGAGAGAGAGAGAGAGAGAGAGAGAGAGAGAGAGAGACCAGGATGTTACCCAAGAAGTTTCTTCTAAGTCCCATCCCCTCAGAACCAGGGTCCAGGCCCAGCCTCCTCCCTCAGACCCGGGGTCCAGGCCCAGCCTCCTCCCTCAGTCTAAGCATCCAGTTGTTGAGAATTCCTTCCAGGAGGAGATGACCAAGGCCAGAAGCAGGCAAACCAGAGCCAGACGCCAAAGAGAGATGAAGCTGGGATGCTCCGCAGAAGGCAGGGCTTCCAGCACTCCACACCAGCAGCCATCTCACCCAGAACCCTTCCCTCCAATGGTGACCGATTTTTGGTCCTGCCCTGGGCTTCAGTGTTCTTCCCAAGATACTGAGCATTGCGGAGAATGTCTAGATGTGGTTTATGGAACACCAGGACCAATGGACCAAAGGGTGGAGGGAGACAAGGGAAAGATAGAGGCCAGACAGAGGCAAAGGCGTTTATTCACTAGAGGGACATCTGCAGAGCTGCTGGTGGGAGGGGCTTGGGGCCGGGCGATGCCCAGGACACAGATGACTCAGTGGGGGGCCCTGCCCTTGTGGAGGTGCCAGTCTGGTGGAGGAGACAGCTGTGTAAACAGAGGACCACGCACCAAGGCAGGGACAGTGAACCCAGCCTGAGCAGAGGAGGTGATCCCAATGGGTGAGGGGTTCGCCATGCTGAGGACGGGTGCGGAAGGTGGGACAGGAAAGGGGCCCGGGATGGGGTCTGAGTGCGGGCAGTCGATGCTGAGGAAGTGTACAGGGTGATAGCAGCAGGCGGGAGGGGGTGCATGGCAAGGCCAAGCAGGGTTTTACAGAATTTCAGTTGACCAGCAGAACTATTCCTGCACATATTTCTGGTGTGCAAGAGGACACTGTGATGCCTGTGTACATTCGAGGGTGGCCGCATTGAGCTGTTGGTGTGTGTACCACGCAGGGTACTGCACACCAGCCTCGGGGGCCGGGGCTTCGTCCTGGGGCTCCAGGGAGCCACAGGGGCATGCGGGCCGGGAGGGGCAGCAGCAGCTCTGGTCCCACACGAGGGACAAACTGGGCAGCGAGACCAGGGGTTCTTGGCCAGGGTGACTCAGTGGTTGGTGAGGTCCTGTCAGAGATAAGAGTGTTCTCTGAGGCTGAGCCTGGAGGGGTTGAGCTGTGGGGGCTGGTGGGGCTGGAGAAAACCCTGAAGGGTGTGTAGCATGCAGACTGGGGGTGCATGGGCCTTGGCCAGCAACTCACTGCACCCTCCATCTGAGCCGGCCCAGGCTAGCTTTGTGCCTGTCCTTGCCCAGTGTCAGGAGGTGCAGACCTGGATGGTGACTATAGGCTGCT